GATATTTTCTTCACAGACCAAACTCATATCCCGAATTTGCTTCATCAGTTCTAACTCATTACCATCATCATTGGTATATACAGAAATTTCCAATTCGATACCTCTGCTACCACTTGGTCTCACTCGAATGGTAATTCAACCCAAAACCATACTCCTTCAGAAGTCCCTATTTATTTCCTCTGCACCATATTCAACTCTTTTTCAAATCAACAAATACCTTAAGTTCTTAAGATCACCAACCATCTCAAATCTCAACTAAACAATCGAGGCTTCCAAACTCCGGCACAAACATGCAACAACAACCAACTCTAATTACTTGTCAGATAATTCCCTTATGTACTTTAAGTTGCCTTAAAGCATAACCAAAACTCGATGATGTTGTACTTAACATATCCCCCAATCATATCAACCAAACATCACAAAACACAACAATTTGTTCTGTCGGATTCGGCAAAACCAATACACGAGCTGTTGACAGCTTTCCTAACAATTCCTTAAACTTTCTTCACAGTAGAATATTACTACTTCTTCTCCAACACTGATAACTCAAGTTCCCGATGCTCAACATGATCCTCTATACTCTTCGAGTATATCCAAATATCATCGGTTACCCAACCATTGACTCACTCAATTAAGTATGGAGAATCCTATGCCAAACGAACACTCAATTTGTGAGTCATGGCGGAAATACAAACCACACTTACTACAACAACCAAACATATTCCATCAATAAATAATTAATTCCATGTCACTACTTCACCGTCACATAAAGCATTGTTTCCCGCGCTTCTAATCTTGCGTCATTCCGAGTTACGGTCCTCCCGTTACGACAAAAATACGAAAACAACATTTCCACGCTTAGAAGGCCATTCAACACATCTTCAACTCTTGAAATGTTTAAAGGTCTAATTATACCAATATAGTATCCCACACCTTACTTCCTTTAATAATCACCAGAAGTCACTATCCACCCTTTATATACTTGACTTCACAATCTGTTGCCACAACACACACACCAGACACAAGTCTCAAAACTACTCAATCAGTTTAATTCCTTGACTATCCAAATAGACATACAATATAGAGCTCTTAATATCGGACCAGTTCCCGTAACTAAGTCAATCCCAACTCCACTTCACGTCCTGGCTGTATATCACTATCTTGTCAGAATAACTTCCAGACAACCATAATTAATCGGCAAACCGCCAACTTCCCACTTTCGTTAACACTCAAAATTTCCATCAAAATGAAACATCTCATCACTGTCCTGCGCCGACTCATCAAAACAATTTTTCAGCACTTGGCTTAACTCCAAACAATTCATTGCTCACGCCATCTAAGCTTGCAAGACACGTCTATCCCATCCAACACAATCCCAACTACTATCAACAAGAGATTAAGGGTGATTAGTTCCTCAATTTATCGATAGACAGCCGAAAATCATGATGGGGTATAAACCATCTTCACCAAACTATAAGAGCGTTTAACCACACACTGATCAGCTACAACTCCGCACTTGCAGTATCCTGGAGAAGCACAAGTTTCTCCCCCACTTAGATCATTCCCACTTCTGTAGACAAAGGTTAGACAACAAACATGTATCGACAGTGTTTTCACATACATGTCGCATACAAGGGAACAACCAACATTAGACAACTTGGCCGGCCGGACCGACCTGCTCTGATACCACTAATGTAACACCCTTCTAAACCCCACGGATAATATATGAATAATCAGATTAAATTTCCATGCATTTACAAAAGGGCATTACACATAACTTTCAAAATATCAAAACCACCTGTCATGCTCATTACTATTTTAATATAAAATTATGCTTTACAAAACTTCACTTTGCATGTAGCAGCGGATTCAATTATACCACAATTTTCATAAAAGAAACATGTGTTTTTATCACATAAAACAACATCACTTAGGCACTAAGGCCAACATCATAATATTTCAATGGATATAAACGCGTTTATAGAGTACATAATGTATATCTTAAACACAACCCAAGCAATCCCAGTGTTACATGACCAGAGCATGACTCGACCCAACATAATTAAATCACTAAACGGCTACACCAAAAGCGACCTCGTAACTACGAGCAATACTACTCCTTGATACCTGCACGATGTCATGTAGGACATCATTCCAGCAGAAGGGTGAGAAATATTATCATAATAACAATGCATATAATTATATATACACAAATACACAAGCACAAAATACATATATTCCACATTTTCTCACCACAATTCATTATAACTCATCATGTACAATACAACATATATATAATCAAATATGGATAATCACCAAGCATATTCATCATGCACGTATCCATAAATCTCAACATTCCACATGAACATACACATATTATGTTTACTCACTAATTCACAATTACACATTCACAATTCTCAAATCAACAATTCATGTTCATAAGCATACTTTCATACAATGATCACATATTCATAACTCTCAATTACACAAGTAATGCACATACGCGTATTCCACCATTCTCACCATACTTCATCATAACTCATCATATACTTCACAAAGCATATATATATAATCAAATATGGATAATCACCAAGCATATCCATAGTTCACAATTACACAAGTCATGTACATACACCTATGCATAACTTCATACAACAATCATATATTCATTCCATTAGACTCAATGCAACTCAATGCAACTCATGCTATGTGGTACCAACACTTGTTATCATTTTTCGGTTTTTACACTTAAACCGGGTCCACCCTTCTAGACCGATAACAACAAAAGCCCGTTCCCTAAGCTTTCAAACCCACCCTTCTAGGTTTGGGACAAGCCACTAGTCTCCACGAAACTAGCAAACATTGTCTCTTAACTAAATGATGCATATGCAATCAACAACAAAATGCACTTAAGACCGATCACACGTCTTAATCCCATGCATTCACATAATTCCTCCCTTCAAGAATTAAACAAGATTGCACATACAACATATCATATAATCAAGTATTCATACTTTTCATCAACATATTTGTCAGACAATGCACGCATATCTTACAATATGCTCCCATGCATTAATTCACAATAATCGGATACAACAAATATGCATTCATAATTCAACCTCATTACCTTTTCAAACAATGCACACATATTCACAATATGTTCTCATGCATTCACAATATCGCATACAATCAATATGCATTTACACTTCAATATCATTACCACATTTATCAAGCAATGCACACATATTCACAATATGTTCTCATGCATTCTTCACATACAAACAATATGCATATATTTGTCAAAAGACTATATTTCATAATCGATTTCACCATCTAGGATTCACGCCATACGGCTACCCACAACATATCATATCATAACATGCACAAGTTATACGTTATATAACAAAAGTTTTCTGCACAATAACACATCAATCACACACATTCGCGACGGTAAAAATCAACACAACAATATGTTTTCAATTTTCTGTTATAATTGAACTAGGTACAGGCCTCAAAGCCATTTTTTCTAGAAAGACAATCTCGTTAACTTACCAACGCTTCGAACGGGGGTCAAAACCGACTTACGGTTCAAGAGTTATGAATTTTCGAAGTTTTCCGAAAAACCAGAATTTTGCCTAAACACGGCTACGAGATTTTGCATTTTCGCTCGAAAATCCGACCGATTCAATTCTTTTTTTCGAAACAAACACATACTCATACTCACCTAACATATAGTAGTGAATTAGAACCTTTAAACACGATTTCTACGACGTCCGATTTTCACTCAAATCTCAAACCCTCAATTATCCAAAAATGTCAAAACTCACAAACTCAACCAAATTCAATCAAACGAAATCCAATAATCACGGATAAACATTACCCGACTAAACTATGCAATTTATTTTAAATTCTAACCGTTCAAAACTCGATTCTACCGATTAAACCATTTATGCCCTAGAAATGGAAAATAGAGAAAACTACCAACAAATCGAACACAACTCATACATAATCATACACATTGATCAAATAATAATGTTTCTCACCCTTACCTTGATTGGATTGAAGCTTGAAGTTGATTCTTGATGATTTCTCCAAGTTTCCCTCTTCTCTTCTCTTTTCTCCTCTTTCTCTATTCTTTCTCTCCTTTTCTTTCTTTCTTTCTCTTATGTTTCTATCTCTTTTCTTTTCTCTCCAATTTCCCTTATATATCCTTTTATTTTCTTTCCATCATAATTCTTCTCTCAAAAATATCTATCAATTCATTTCTCACAAAATATCTCATTTTATCGTTAATTAGAGAATATCTAATAAATCCACATTATTCTACCAAGTAGAATAAATTAATTAAATCCATTAACTCATTTAAATAAATCCAATAATTTATTTAAATCAGATAAATCACATAAACCAATTAATTAACACAATTAATCACTTATTGAAAAATTGGGCTGTTATAACACCCCTCACCTTACCAACCGGTTTTGTAAGATTGTATTAGGGCAAACTCTAATAAGTCGGATATCAAAATTTAAAAAAAAACATTTAAAATGATTTTACACAACTTTAAATTTAATTTATAATTTCTTTTTATAAAAAAAATAAAGCACATTTAATTAAAATAAAAGATTCAATACAAATAATAATATTTTTCTTGAAAACAATACAAAGAGTAATATGATAAAATAATTATTTTTGCCTTTTATTATCCGGATAACTCATTGAGAATGGAATTGTCTGTTTTTCTTTATAAGAGAATGTTTGGGAATTTTGATCACTTAAATTTTACTCTAGAATCAAAATCTTGTCTTATTCAATTTAATAAGTACAAAAAAAAATCTCAATTTCAGCCGGCTTCATATAATTCTTTACAAATGGCAATGCCGTTTCTTGTTTTATCCAATGTCCATTGTGTTACTTCTTTTCCATACATAAAATCAAAAGAATTGCATAATGAAACTTTATTTAGATCATACAAATTATTGGAAACCTTAGAGACAAACATGTCACATGAAATTACCGAGGAGACAGAAGAAGAGTCTCAATGGTTTATCAACACAAAATATCAGAAGGAAAAGATCATGAAGATTATACAAAACCAAAAGTCTCTATATTCATCATCAACAACAACATCATCATCATTATCTTTATCATCTTCAATTGCAACTTCTTTTTCTTACTCTAAATCTAGTAGTTTGTTGGAGTTGATGAAAGGTGGAAGCACTTCTATGAGAAGATTATTTGACATGGAGCATACAAGTTTGTCAAATCATTTTGATTATTATAGTGGCTCACCTATTATTAAGCCTATTTCTTTGTGGGATAGTGATTCGGATAGAGAATTTCATGACCCTTGGGCCTTGTTCAAGAAGATTGGATCCACAAATGGTTATGGTATTGATAGAGAAAGTGAGTTAGCTTCAAAGGGTACTCACATGGATGAAGATTTTGGATCTCACAATAGAAATGATAAAAAGGGGAAGCATAAATTGTCTAGGAAGAAATCTTTTAGAAGATTACCAAGATTTAGTTTGTGGAGATGTGGAAGATTCAAATTTCATTTGAGATTAAGACGATTCAAATTTCGAATTTGGGATAGAAAACTCAAATAGAGGAAGTCTTTTTATTGATGTTGAAATTTGATTTTGAACATGATTGAAATCAATGTTAAGAAAAAGATCACACCCGATCTGAATTTCAACATCAAGATTTTTGATGCCCTTGCCTTCGATTAGAATTGTTTGCAATATCAAAGAACCCGATGCAATCTTTGATCGACTGGTGAAGACTTAAGATATGAGAATTCGCAAAGTCTCATATTCGAATCTCATTAGATACTAACAACTTTTGTATTGATCACTCCATACACGTCTCTATCTTTAAATGGATTTCGTTAGTAGACGGTGTAATCGATTCCCTCAAATTACTCAATCATATGATCAGATATTGAATTTTAGAGAAAAACAAAGTCAGCATTTGTTGCATTTGATTGCTATTGTCCACAATATCAAAGATTTTGATGCGACTAAGATTTAAAATCCTAATCAAAATCATTGGAACCATCAACAAAAAAAATTGTGTTAAAAGAGAATTCCTTTCAAACTTGCAAAGCTAGCTTTTACACCACACAAGTTTTCCTATACATTAGAGAAAAACTATTACAAACGACTCAATGATTTGATAGAAGTCTTGCTATAACACTTCCTTCTTCAATAACCAAACCACTACTTTGCTTATTCCATAGATGAAGACCATAAGTTTCACCACTAAGTTGATTCAATTTGGCTTCGACCCATTTTTCTTCAACTCTACTACTACCCTTCCTAAAGAAACCACCTATCTTATTCCAATCAGCTGGATAAAAGGCCATAGGTGGCAAAATGGTAAAATTCAAACCATGTCTTTTCCCAAGTTTTTCAACAACTCTAGAAACAAGGTAAGGACCATTATGCCCCCATTTGTTTCCATCAAAAGTCAAAGCAAATTCATCAATAAACCTTAGAAGAAGTGGATGATTCTTATCAAAAATAAGAACAGCATTGTTCAATCTTGTCCAATGTTTAAACCCTAAATCCATGCTTTGTGCTCCAATACAATTCCTCAAACCATTTAAAGGCTTCAATAGTATAAAATCCATGTCTAAATAGACACCACCATATTTATACAAAGCAGCTAGTCTTATCAAGTTAGATAGATTTTGAGACAAAGGAATCTCACCAGGATCTTTTTTCCCTTTCCTTAACTCATGAAACCAAGATTCAGCTAGAGTACCTTTGACCAAAAAGGACAAGTTTGGTGTTATAGCTTGGACTTTGAACCCTTTATCAATGAATGGTTTGAGAATTTTGTAGCCATGGATTGAGTCCAAAGTTCTTGATAGAATTGTTAAGCAAGCTTGAGGTTGAACCTTGAAGAGACTTTCTATAGCCAAAAACTCTCTTCCTCCAAATGAACTTGAAGGTGAAATCCATGTCATGAAGAATTGTGTGTCACATGAGTTCTTTTTGAGAAATTGTTGGATTCTAGCATGGAATTGTTTTGCCAATTTATCCGACTTTAGAATCTTGAACTCTTGGAGATTCTCTTTAAACCATACAATTCTTTGTTCTTTGTTGAGATTTAATGGAGCTACTAGCACTCTTCGATTTGCATAATCATCAACTTCTTCATCTTTCTTCTCTTGGATGGAATGTGATAAGGGTTTGTGATTATGATCATCAAGAGTACTAAGAGTTGACCTTTGACTTTGAGCTTGTAACATGATATGAAGTTCTTTATTTGTGGCATGGAGTTTAAGAGAATCATGGTAGATAAAATGATCACCTTGAATGAGAAAAAATATGGTAGATAATGTGATTAGAGAAAAGACAGAAAAAATCTTGGTATAGTGTTTGAACATTCTAGTAGAGTTTGAAGTTGTTCTATCTGTGATGAGAGATTTAGTGGGAAAGGGATTGTGTATAATAGACATAGGATTAGGTTTGACTTTCATGTTGGTGATGTTTTTTGAGGAAATTCTTGTATGCTGTCTTTGTTTGAAGCTTTCAAAATTGAGTGAATGTTATGTTTTTCGACCATAGGAAAGCCGCCAGTGACATACACACATGTCTTAGTAACATACTACATTATTTTATACATTTGATTATTATTATAAGGAAAAAAACTAATTTTTAAATTCATTAAATGATTGGTATATTTATTTTAATATATAAATCAAATATATTAATTATTTAAGAAATAAAATAAATAGATTTTTATTTATAGTATAAACTGAAATACTACTATTTAATTATTACTATTTTTATTTAGTGACCACCGATGTATTTAGTCTATTCATAACGATTTCAGTTTGATTTTCAACAAATTTTAATAGATAGTCAATTTGACTTATTTTCTTCTAAAAATGTAGAACTGAATATGGTACATTGTTATTATAAGAAAATCTTTTATTTTTGATTAGATTTATTAAGCAACTAAAATATTTAATATTTAAATTAAATATACTAATTATTTAATAAATTTTAATTTTTTATAATAGAAATTAGATGTAGAATTAATTTTTTAAAAAGTCAATATCCACCCATTCTACCGTTCGTTTGTGGGACTTGCACTTTATTTGAAGCTAAAATAAAGAATTCTTTTTCTCATTTTTAGGGTTGTTCTCCCGCCAACATAAAAAGTCTCAATTGTCTCTAGCGTTTAAGGGTGGATCTTCGGACGCATTTTTTTCACACACTCCTCTATGCAAATTGATGAGAAATTCTTATTTTGTCAAAATTTAATATGGAGATACATCTCTGTAAGTATAAAAGGTGAGTCTGGAGATGCATCTTCGTAAACAGTATTAATTAAAAATTCAGTGGGTGGTACGGAGATGCATTTCTGAACGCGGTTAATACATTAACATGTGCTAGAACCTTTCATCTACCTCCTTCATTTTCTAAAAATTTATCAACCTAAAGAAAACATATTGATGTTATTCCTTAGCCATTAAAGCTTCTTATTCAATCAAGCTTCTCACTACATTCTACTTCATTTGCTACAAAGCTTCTCACTTCATTCAAGCTTCTCATCCACAACTTAGATTTGATAAATTTTTCAAAAATCATTCCTCTTTTGTGTTTTAAATTATGTTTTAGGAAACATAACATGTTTAAGCTACATTAGATAGCGTGCAATCGAAATACGTATAACCTAAATGGACATGAATTGAAAGTTGTTTGGAGTTTAGGGCATCAATGTCGTTTATGTCATTTAAGCAAAATCACAGCTTTGTCCAAAGATGCCTCTCCGCATTCTTTCTAAACTATTTTTGAAGATGTGTCGCCAAATTTTAACCTTTCTGAACTATCTAGTTTTAACACGAGTGCAATGGCTGAAAATAACCTTGGCATAATTACGCTCAGTCGTGTGTCCCAAACTACTTATGTACAATGTGAGAGGGCTGCTTGTAACACCTCATTTAAAATATTTAGTCATTGCGTGTTTTTTGTGATTTTATTGACTTAATCAAGGGTATATGGTTAAGGGTGAGAGAGGGGAATTAAACTTAATTGAGTAATATAAATAAAACTTTAAAATAATATGATAATGATAATTAATTAATAAGGAATGAGATATATTATTATTATTATTATTATTGTTATTACTATTATTATTAGTAATATTATTATTAGGAGTTAATTAAGTGAGGTAAAAATAAAATTAGAGAGAGATTAGCAGAGTTTTGGGAAATAACTGCTAGAACGTGAAAGAGGAAGTGAAGGAGAGGTAGGGCAAGAAGAACTAAGGTTTCCATCATTGTTGAAGGGATAAAGCTCATAATTCAGATAAGAGGGAAAAATGGGTTTTGTAAAGGGATATGAACATGAGAGGGTAGTTAAGGTTCATTTCCCTCTTAGGATTTTATGCATACTCTTTCTCCTTCTTGTTTTGATTTTCGTATCTGAATGATTACTGTTTCGATTCATGTTCTGTGTACTGATTTTGATGTGAAAATTTGTGTAAATTGTATGTTGTTGTTGTGTTCATCATAAACCCAGATCTGTAAATTTATGGGTTTTTGGGGATGACGAGATATGAGTTTTAGTTGTGAAAAACTTGATTAGAAGGATAGTTTAATGAATTAGAATGAAACTATTAAGATTAAAATGGTATAGATACTGTTTTGGGTCTGAAATAGGGGCTTGAAGGTGCACTGATACAAATTTCTCTGTGTAGGCTGGGCAATACACGTAAGACACAATGCATTACGCGTATGAGGGGACCTTCTTAGGACGTTATGCGTATGGTACGCACCCATTCCTAGAGTCGGCACGACCCTCTGCCAATACGCGTAAGAGGAAGCAGGCCATACACGTATGAGCTAGCCATTGCGCGTATGGGAAGTTTTAAGAGGGAAACCCTCTCTGGACATACGCGTAAGGCCCAAGGCAATACGCATATGGATGGCCTGGGAAGATGAGCCCTACGCGTATAATATGCAGGCCTCGGGCGTAGAGAGATGGACATAGCTGTGGTGAAAATTTCTCGTTTTCGCGATTTCTGTCCCGATTTCACGTGTAATGCAATTTCTCTTGATCCGTGAGACTAAGATGGTATAATGAAACACAGGGGGAAACATTAACGACATTAAATGGGATAAAATATAGGATTTTCACATGATGGTCTGTATGAGACGTGTTTGATGATTGTGTGCCAAGATTTGTCGCATGTGGACAATCTTGGACTGTGGTGGTAATTCCGGAGGGAATTACGGTGAATATGTGGCTCATGTGTGATCATTGAGGATCGTGGCTTATGCATGAGTTATTATTATTATTGTGCATAATTTTGTGTCATGTATTCATGTCATATTATATGGAGATGAGTTAGGTGGGAATCCATGACGGGTGCCTAGTCTCGTCCGGACTCCATGTAGGAGACCTGTGGAGGTAAGTTGTAGTTCATAGGAACATATATGACTTATCCGGATTCCGACGGGAATTGGGTTCTAGGGTGAACTGTATGTGATTGTGATGGTACCATATGCATTGTGTCGTGTCAGTTGAGTCGCATTGCATATTTATATGATTAAATATTGGATGAATATGCCGAGTATTAGTGTGGTACT